GGGGGATTAGCCCATATTGTGTGTTAGAATCACTCGTTCCTTTTTATTCTGAGGTGTATACAGTTACATGGACATTTAGATTTTTTCAGTTTCTGGCTATTATGAATAATGTAAACATTTGTGATTAAGTCTTTGTGGACATGTGTTTTCATTTCTCTAGGAGTGGAATTTCTGGGTCATGTAGCTTTTTTTAACAACTTTGCATTCTTTTTTATTGAAGTCTGGTAGGGTCATATGGTTTTAAATACATGCTTACTTCTAAAGAAACTGTCAGAACTTTTCCAAAATGGCTGTACACTTTATACATGACTTTATACACTGTAAAATGAAGAGTCCAGCTTCACGTGCTGTGACCTCCAAGTACTGCCATTCTGGACGGTGTGTGGTGGGATCTCATCGTGGTTTAAATTTACGTTTCCTTAGTAACTAGGCTTTGAACGTTTCCCCACGTGGCTCCCTGTCATCGTATATCCGCTCTGGCGTCGTGTCTATTCAGACCTCGTTTGTCTTCTCACTGAGTTGTTCGCGTTCTTTATTCTAGAGAGAAGTCCTTTATCCAGATGTATGTTTGCCAGATGTTTTCTTCTAGTCTGTGGCGTGCCTTTTCAATAATGGTGTCTTTCAAAGAGCAAAATGTAAAATTTTGATTTAGCAGTGTTTTCTGTTGTGGTTCATGCTTTTTGTGTCTTAAAAAGTTTGGCCTAATTCAGGGATAAAAGGGTTTTCTCCTGTGTTTTCTTACAGAAGTGTATGACATTACACTTACATTGAGTGTATGACATTTTGAGTGTACTCTCTGAGGTCAAGATGGAGAGTCTTCATCTTTCTGCATATGATACGCAGTAGTGCCAGGGCCATTTGTTGAAAGGTTACTTTATCCAATGAATTACCTTGACACCTCTGTCAAAAAGAACTTGATAGTCGTATGTGTGGCCCTGTTTCAAGCTCTTTTAGGTATACTTACGGCCAAGGATGTTCAGCCAGCTCTGGGAAAGCAGGGGGAGCCTCTAGCCAGTCACACGGGCATGCTTCTCAGCCTGGGTTGTTGCTGGAGTAAGTGGGCTCTGTCATTAGCTAGATGCCCACCCTCTGGAGCACAGCATCCTGAGGATGGAGAGAGCCAACAGAGGCCAGAGGACGTCTCCAGTCACTCAGCTAACATGCTCTGAGCCCCCGTCCTGGGTGCTGGTTTACGTTGGTGAGCAAACCTCTGCCCTTGCTGGGCTCACGTCGCTGCCAGCAGTGGGAACTCGCTATGGAAACCTGCAACCAGCAGATGCTTTTCAGGTGACTTGCGGTGGACTCGTCTTCTAAACTGGCTTAGGCAACACCCAGTGTAGCGTATTCATTAGTTTTGCGTAGCAGGCATTCTAGTATCTGGGGAACTGAGTTACGTGCTTGTTTGTGTCCTAACTGCCAACCCTGGAGACCCTTCTGAGGAAAAAATAAATGAAACAAACTGTTTCTGAATTAACAACTATGTTCTAGGACGCAGGCCTCTCTCCCTGCGCCATATAGTTCTTAACCCTGTGTATCAAACTGTGGCCCTTGAAGACTTCTAAAAGGTGCACCATGAGGAAGAGAACACAGTCACCCCTGAAAACGGCGCTGGGGAAGCCCTTGTCCTTGCACGTGCTTCCTCAATGGTCCTCTTGCTTCTGAGCTTCAGCCTTCAAAACAAATCTGCCCACGTGGTGACACTGTCCCATGTCTAAACCCCGTCGCTGGCTCTTCCTCTGCCACAGTCCTCCCTGGGAGGCCTTCCTTCCCACCTGTGTCCCCCTCCTTTCGCCTGGGCAGCCACTCCTTAACACACACTTTACACTAATCCAACCCTGGATGCTTGTGGTTTGTACTTTGCTCCAAGCTCTCTCAGTGCCTTTGCTTGTGTTGGACCCTCTGATGCTTAGAGCAGGGGAGCTCACTTCCCGGTGTGTCGGGGAAGAAACATGATCGCGGACAGCTGACCCTTTATGTGTATTCTGTGCCACTTGACACAAAAGACTCATAAAGGAGGAAAAACAGTATCCTTAAGTCATGTAAGAAACTT